GACTATTTAAGTTCTATGTAAATAAAATTTTAATCGACCTCACATCCAAAATAATGCATTTATTAAAGGAAAATCTGCTAAGCTATAGGGCACAACAGGAGGACAAAGAATTTAAGGGGAGATGGTAAAATCTGGACTTCAGATTTAAAGACATAGAATGAGAGAAGATCACCAACAACCTCGCTGAACACAGGAAGGATGCAAATTAAATAGAGGTACAGAACTGAATTTAAATAGAGCACAGAGAGGTAAGGTACAGAACTGAATTTAAATGGAGCACAGAGAGGTAATATTCAGCATTATGTAGTTCTGCTTTATGGCAGTTTAATAAAACCTCACAAACACTGTTTTCCACACCACAAAGTTACAGAATCAAGTGGATCTGATCATTTTAGCCACAAGAAAAGAATGATATGACTCAAACTAGTGCTCTCTGTAAGCAGAACACTCTCCAAGGGAGGCAGGAAAAAACAGTCTTGCTACTTTCTAACACATGGCAGAAAGGTGTGCCAGGTCCCAACAAGCAGAACAGCACAGGGTACAGTGACATGAAAAAAAAATCTATTAAATTATGACTTTCAGAATTAAAAAAATATATGTTTCCAGACCAAAAGGGGAAAAAAAATCCTCTTAAATTCTAAATGTAGTTAATTCGTGAAGTTCGGGGTGGGAGGGAAGCAGCCAATGCCTTTGGCCTAGAGCTGTGCCCTAAAGAAAGCAGCTCAGTTCTCATTCATTTGCTGCTTTCTCGAATTCCTTGGCCAATTGTGCAATATTTGTTTCAGCTCTCCCAGGGCAGGTGAACAGGTCTGTGAGCCACCAGCTCCCCGTGCCAGCCAGGAATTGTTCAATTCACTCAATCCCATCAACTACCTTAGAGTCACATTAACCATCAAAGATATGCAGAATTCAGGCAGTTGGTGAACACAGGCAGATAATCAACAGATAAAAATGGCTTTAGGCACTGCTGCTCTTGATCTCAAGCCAAGCTACAGAATATGCCAAAAATCTGCTTTAGAGATGCAAAATAGTGAGAATTGCTCATTGAAGAAATGCAAATATATATTCATGTTCTCTCACACGCCCAGGTATCCTACCTGTTTGAGACAGAGGATTGTAATTTCACAACAAATAGAAAGGTGTTCGTTGTGACACAGCTACTGATCCACCTCCCAGTGAGCCACAGAAAACAAAAGGAGATGTTCTTTATTTCTATTTCACACATTCTCACTCCAGCTGTTTTCTCACTGAGGAAGGGGACAGTGAGGAAAAGTTTAGTTATTTTATAAGCTCTTAAATTTTACTCAGTGTCTTCAAGATCATTCCCAGGTCCAGTGATTCTCCTTCAGCATGCCCAAAGTAGGGGCTGCTGGAACATCCATCAACAAGACAAGGAGAGAGCAGATCCAACTGACATCCCCTCTCTCCTTGAAACAAAAATCTTTGAGGTAACACAAAATCAGAGGGTAACCCTGTTGAAATTAAATAACAGAATTAATGAGAGGCAGAGTGAAAGTCTGCACAGTGTGTGTGATTTGGGAAATAATTTCCTGAGCTACTCCAAACTTAGAAAGTTGTTCTGTAGAACACCGTACATACACCAGGTTGGAGCTCCAGGAGAGCACAGAATAAGATATGAAGGCATGATTTTTTTCAGAATTAAGGGAAATAGAAGCTTGAATCCTCCTATTAATTAGCTGCCAACAAAGCATACATGTTTTGTAGTTGGTGAATAAGCAACACCTGGCTTATCATGGATAAATAAAACCAGTATGATGTCCCTGAGCTTCACAACTGCTAAAAGTAGGGATTTGCACTGAGCCTGATATTTCTTAAGCAGAATTTAACAATTTGTAGCATAAATACACAGAGTCTCAAAAACTTGCATCTTCTGAGAGTGTCTATTTACAGAATTCATGTCAGGGGGACTTGGAGGTGATGTAAAATAGTCACCAGAGGACAAGGTGACAGCAGTTGTGCTTCAACAAAAAGCACAATGCATTAGTGATTTGTATTTTGAGATCCAAAATCCTCCACTCTGAACATTTCCAAGGTCAGAACAGTTCCACCCTCAAGCCTTATTTTTAAAAAGTGTCCCAGATAAGAGCAGCTTAAGAGAATAGAAATGAACTCACTCTTTAAAGCACAATTAAGGAGTCTCTGATCCAGGAAATGAGACACAAACACTGCTGCTGTTACCTCAGTGTTCCAGCACCTGAACCTGGGGCAAGCTTCTTGCTTTTTCAGAGATAAAGACACAGGTTTCTTCAAAGAATAATTTGTTGGGAAGATCCCAGAGGCATCTGATATCTTTGGTTCTGCTGTTTAGTAACCAGGCTTCAAATCAGAGCAAGGCAATTTGCATTTAAGAGTAACACAAAAGGGGAAGGACCTCAGGGATTAATTAGGATCTGGGAGATTTTTCTTGGTGGGCAAAGTTGGAGACTTTTCCTACCTGTTGATCAAAAATAGCAACAACAGCAGAATGAAGCCTACAATAGGCTGATCTTCAAATCTGACTCCCAGTAACAATCAGCAGGACAAGGATTAGGAATGACATTTCTGAAAGTATATTGAGACTGCATAAAGTCAAAAATCCAGGTCAGGAGAAGTTGCAAAACAGTGGAAAGTGCGAATTCTGCAAATTAGAATTTCAGGAACAAACCAAAAAAGCTCACTGCTTCACAGGCATTTCTCAACCTTCTGCTTTTTGTTTTAATTTTTTTTCCCCTCCACCTACTCTGGTTTATCAGACTGATTGAAGCCAGGCCAGAATTTCAAACACAGAACAAAACTTCATTCAAACATCCTCAAATATCTTCCAAGGCCAGAAAATTGAATGGCATGATTATTCTGAGGACAGCAGAGAGATCATTCTTTAAGAACAGAAGTCCACCCTGCCACTGGTCAGTAGATTTGTGACCAGGCCAACTTTTCTCAAAGTTGTTGAGGGGCTCTGGGCCAGACTGATCTATTTGCTCACTAGAAACAGGTGGATGTGCTCCCCTTTCTCCTTCAGACCTTTGAATTAGAATTCTGTAAAATCCAACGTTAACCAGCAGGTCACACCTCACCCAGGCATCCCACACATTTTCTGTACCTGTAACATGGAAAATGTGCTGGCTCTGGTGGAAACAGAGTTAATTCTGACCATGCCAGCCCCTCCAGTGCTGTGTGCTGCTAACACACCAGCGCTCTCAGCCCTCCTCCCAAGGATCTCTCCAACATTTCCCCTCTCCACAAGGCTGAGGGTGGGCAAGGCAGTCAGATCCAAACTGAACAAAGGACTTGCTCCTTTTGCTTTTAATAAAAAATAAATTTTTTTTGGCCCACAGGTTTTTTCCACCTTCTCTGTCTCCCACCACCCCATCCTTCTGAAGAGAGACAGAACCCAGCCAAGGCAGGGCCACCACAAATAGCAGACTGAAACAGGGCCATAAATCCACCTGAATTTGGAACATGGCAGCAACAGGTTTGTGATGCTTAGAACAGATCATAAAGGCCCTTCAGTCTGCTCAGGTCCTCTTTATTACTGGTTTGATTGTCATTTAATAGCTCATACTGAGGATTGTTGGGCACTAAAGGATAACAGAATATAAACAAAACAGTTGAAGTACTTCCTAAAAAGACTACAAACTGTTTAGTTGAATTTAGTCTAACTAAAAAAGTTTTAATTTACATCTATAGAAGCCATATAAGCAAGAAATATGATAGCTCTTAGCACTAATTTCCATAAAACCAGCATACTAGATCAACCTGCCTTTCTGGTTTTTTGGCATCTGACTGCAGAATTACATTAACTGATGGATATCAGAACAAAAACAACTTTGGATTTATCATTTTATTGTGTTTGCAATGTGAGTTAGGTTAACTGCTACTCAGGTACTGTTAAAGCTATAATTTAATAAATCCCACTGTAAGGACGATCAGATTTCAGAAGAGCCCTAAAACAGGTGGGGTGATGAGCAGGTACACATCCCACCACTAAGCAGCAGGTTGTTTGGCAGACATCCCTCAGCCAAAAAAGTGTCTTTTGGAGTTCAAAAAGTTCAAAAGGTGTTTAGTTGAGAGAGAGCAATAATCCTAAAACTTTGTGTTTTGTTCAGATACCTGCAGGAAATACCTTCATGACAGATCAAGTCAATCAACCTCTCCTTTCCAGAAACCTCTAGCACATTGAAATAAATATCACAGGAGAAAATGTCAGAGATGTGGAAACAATAAGGCTGATTTTGCTGACAAAACAAACTCAGTTTTTAGGTTTATAAAGGAATATCTTTGTCAGTAATATTGACTGCCATAACAAGTATATATATACATATATATACACAACAAGTGTATATATATATATATATATATATATATATATACACATATTATCATTGGATAAGTAGAACACATGGCACAAACTCCCTCTAAAGAACACTGACCCTAATCAAAGAAAATCATATAAAACCAACGAGAAAACCTATCTCACAGAATACTCCTGACAGTTTATTTCACAGGAATAAAGAATGGAATTCTAATAATGTTTCATTTTACAGGCAGACAGAGAGAGAAACATCAGCTGAACTCTCGGCCAGTTGATCACTGGTAACAACCCCTACATTCCCTATGGTTTACAGTTCCTTAATTATTAAAAGCAGATAAACCATAGCTGTAGCCAATCCTTTGCAGTTTTTCACATGACTTGGAACGGCCACATAAAAAAGGCATTCTCCTTTAGATTACAGACCTTAGCCAAACCTATATACTTATTTGCAAAAGAGTATCACTGTTGTAACGAGATCTGGTTTTCTGAAGAGAGAAAATAAAAGGAAGAAAAGAAGTTCAATCAAAGCTCCCATTCAGTGCAAGGATTAAAAATAAAGGAAAAGAATACACTGGTTATTGCTTTGCCTCCCCCAGCCCCACTGTGAAATTTTCATATCCTTTTAAAGATGTATCCGGAACTCTGTCAAAGAAAAACCCAGAAATACACACAAGAAAAAAGTACTCACACTGTTTGGGTGTTGAATGGCAACTTGGTGCTGCAGCCTAACCCGCTGTGGCATCATCACATCATCCTGGAATAAATAGCACACTGTTAGTGAACATAAAAAGGGTCACAGAACACTACTGACACACATTAGAATATGTTGCTAAATGAACATCATTTTACTGGCTGGCAGTCAGAAATGCAAATGGAACAGATATGAGGAGACTTCACACTTTTTGTGGATTGAACTGGATGCTGTTGGAGCTGGAAGTGATCAAAACTACTACGTGACAGTGGTGCTGTGATCTCACCACACATCCACAGCACCCACACATTGCACATTTATTTCTCAACAAACTCTCCAACTCTTTCCCAACTGCCCCAGCAGCACTGGCAGTGTGAGGACAAGGAAGTACCCTCAGTTAAAGCAGCAATGAGAGGAAATGCTCTCTGCAAGCTGGCTGTACCTTGTTCCACTGAAAATGAAAAGCCTTTGGTCTCTAGATCTAAAAATATGTCATATTTCATGGGCACAAAAAACTAGCACTGGTGAAATGAGAAAATTCTAAGGAAAAGGAAAAAGGGAAGTACCCACACTAACAGAATGCATCAGCATTGACACTGGCTTTAAGACACACCATCTGGATTTAAATTTTGTGTTAATACTACTTCTGCTTGCAGCACAAAGATCTGTTCTATTTACATACAAAAAGAGAGGTTGTTTTGTGAAAAGTCAGTAACTTCGCTATCCTGCCTTGAACTGTTAGGAGAGATTCCTTTCAAACTTATATTACTTCCTGTTCAAAATTAAATCCTTTCTAGACAGTGATTTTACAGTTTATAGAAACTTTAGCACAATTTTTCTTTCCTAAATTTTTTAAGCCCCTAAGGTTTCTACCTATATTCTTTTCCATGTTGGTGCCATATTTCCCCCCTTTTAAAGAATCAGCCTTTTTTAGATACTTGTTAAAGCTAACACAGACTATTTCTTCTCGGAGTATTTCCAAATAAACTTAATCAGGCAAATATAATTCAAAGGAGCCCTGAATTCCTGTTCTACAGACACCCTTTTAACAGTTCCTCACACTGAAATAATTCTGATTTTCCTATTAAAGCACAAACCCTCAATATTGAATTTCCAACCACTTTCACATTAAAACTTCCCATCAAGTCAACAGCAACAAAAAAAATATTAGTGTTTAAATATCTACAGCTTGAAGAGCTGAATGACCTTGCTATAAAGGTGCCCCTATAGTTTTATCAAAACATGCACGATAAAAAAGTTTCAGAAGTAGATCCAACTGTTTAATACAATTCAAGGTTAAAGACAAAACAAAATAATAATAAAACTGACTCTTATCACACATAAGTTTATAAAAGATGGGAGGACTACATTGTCAAAAACATTTTGCATTTAGGATATGTTTAGTAATAAACATGACAGCTGTTCCTGATTTTCAAAGCCAATAGAGCAAAAAAACCCTTCAGATTTCCCATGACTTCAAAACTACAACAATATTATTTATCACCTCATCCACTTTATCCATAGAGCACCAGCATTCCAGTATCAAGAAAGTGTTCCCATAAAACCTTCACTCTATTTCCCACAAGAAAAATCATAATTCTATTTCTTTATGCCAAACACAGAGCTGATTTTTGTGAATTAAAACCTGGTTTTCATACAAGCAATAGCAGATATATTTTAACTGAACTCTGTTCACTCCTTTACAAGTTGCTAAGGAGCCTTAGATGTTTTCTTGGTAAATCCAAATGAAGGGGGAAAAAAAGGGGGA